TGCCCATACAGTCCAAAGTGCCATTGTCTCTGTCATGGATTTTTTTTAATTCCCAAAGGCCAGGTACCCTAAAATCCCTGTGGATCTAATGACTGAGTCCAAGGCCAAGTGGTCACACTGCATCTCTACATCATGAACCTGACCACTCTGCTGCTTCCATGCCATGAATCTCAGCATCTGTGAAGTGAGCCAGGAGAAGTACCTTCTTCAAGGAAGTGGTGAACTTGCTAAATTGGACAGAAGAACCCTGATGGACAAAGCTGAACTTGGCCTAAATCCTGATAGACAATTTCTAAAACAGCTGATGGTAGACGAGTCGATTTGGAAGGCCTTGAAAAAGTAGGTGATTCAACCCTACCCAGACAAAGTAAATCCCTCAGGGGTCTGGGGAAAGGCTCACATTTAAAGTGTGATACTGGCATAAAAATAGACACACAGGCCGATGGAACAGAATCAAAGGCCCAGAAATAAACCCAAGTATATATGGTCAACTAATATTTGACAAGGGAGCCAAGAACACTCAAAGAGGAAGGATAATGTCTTCAATAAATGGCATTGGAAAACTGAATATTCACAAGCAAAAGAATAGAACTGGATCCCTACCTTATACCATTTACAAAAATTAACTCAAAATGAATTAAAGATTTAAACGTAAGTCCTGAAAGCATAACTCTGAGAAGAAACCGCAGGGGAAAAGCTCCTTGGTGACTTCTTTGGATATGATACCAGAAGTACAAGCAACAGAAGCAAAAATCAACAGATGGAACGATACCAAACTAAAAAGCTTCCACACAGCAGAAAAGAAAAGAAAAAGCAACCTATGGAGCAGGAGAAAATATTTGCCAATCTGATAAGGCATTAATATCCAAATTATATAAGAAACTCTTACAACTCAATAGCAAAAAGTCATCATCATCTGATTTTTAAATGGGCAGAGAACCTGAATAGACACTTTTTCCAAAGAAGACATACAAATGGCCAACAGATCCATGAAAAGCTGCTCAACATCACTCATCATCAGGGACATGCAAATCAAAACCTCAATGAGACAACACCTCACTCCCATTAGAATGGGTATTATCAAAAAGACAAGAGATGATAAGTTCTGGTAGGGATGTGAAGAAAAGGGAACCCTCGTGTACCACCGGTGGGAATGTAAATTGGGGCAACAACTATGGAAAACAGTATGGAGGTTCCTCAAAAAAATTAAAATAGAACTACCCTATGATCCAGCCATTCTACTTCTGGGTATAGATACAGAGTTTGGTGCCCCAGGCTATAGTTTGTTCTGTCAGAAGCCGTGCTATAGAGAATGATTCTCCCTTATAAGGCACCGGGAAGGTCTTCAAGGTGGAGATGAAATTGCCATCTGGAAGAGACATCTGCACCCCCTTGTTCATTGCAGCATTATTCATAGTACCCAACACATGGAAGCAACCTAAGCGTCTGTCGACAGATGAATGGATAAAGAAAATGTTACACACACACTTACACACACAATGGAATATTATTCAGCCATAAAAAGGAAGGAAATCTTGCCATTTGCAACAACATAGATGGACCTTGAGAGGCATTATGCTGAGTGAAATCGGTCAGACAAAGACAAATACTGCATGATCTCACTTATATGTAGAATCTAAAAACATCAAACAGAAACAGAGAATCAAATGTGGTTGCCCGGGGTTGGGGGCTGAGGGAAATGGGGAGATGTTGGCTAAAAGATGAAAACTTCTAGTTATAAGATGAATAAGTTTTGGGGATCTAGTGCCCAGCCTAGTGACTATAGTTAACAATACTGTAGTACATACTTGGAAGTTGCTAAGAGAATTAATCTTAAATATGCTCACCACAAAAAAAAATCCTGTGAGGTGATGGAGGTGTTAACTAAACTTGTCGTGGTAATCATTTTGCAATACCTCTGTGTGTTAAATCATCATCTTGCACACCTTAAATATACATAATATTACATGTCGATAAAGCTAGAGAAAGCCCCTAAAGGTCAGCCTCTCTCACTTCACCCCTTCCTTATTGAGCAAAGATCATGTGTCCATAGAGCCTTCTTTCAAGTTCCACAACTCCTGGGGGTCAGCACAGGGAGGGGTGAGGGAGATGCGCAGTTGGGAGAAACCACAGCCTCAGACCATGAGTGACCATCATATGTGATCATGCCTTCCACCTTGAAGACCTTCCCGGTGACTTATAAGGGAGAATCATTCTCTATAGTACGGCTTCTGACAGAGCAAACTATAGCCTGGGGCACCAAACTCAGCCAGGCCCCTATTTTTTTTTTTTTTTAACAAATAAAGTTTTATTGGAACATCGCCATGTCCATTCATTTACCTGTTGTCCACGGCTGCTTCTGCTCCACTGGGAGAGGTGCAGACCACATGGCCCACCAAACCTAAAATATTCACTATCTGGCCCTCTACAGAAAAAGTTTGCCATCCCCTAGCTTTCCTAACTCTTTGTTGTTGTTGTTGTAAATGTGGGTACCTCATGTAAGTGAATTCATATATAAGTGGATCCTTTTGTGACTGGCTTCTTCTACTTGGCATACTGGTTTTGAGATTCATCCATGTTGAAGCATGTGTCAGAATTTCATTTCTGTTGACGGCTGAATAACATCTCACTGGCTAGAGTGGGCACATTGTGTTTATCCTTCCATCCGCCGACGGACACTTGGGCTGTTTCCACTTTGGAGCTGCTGTGAAGAGTTCTGCCTCCTAATTCTTGAGTCTCCTCCTGCATCGCTTGCCTTGGTCCCTCAGCCATAGAGGCCTTCTGTCACCTTCTGTCAATTCCTCAGATGTATGGTGCCCCCTTCCACCTCTCGGCCAGATACTCCCCATGGCCTCCACCTCTACCCCTTCAGCGTCTTAACCCCTCCTTAGCCTTCAGTCTAAGCATCACTTCTGGGAACTCTCCGGGACCAGACTCTCCCTAGTTTCCCCACTCACCTCCCTGCCAGCTCAAACTCGATCAGCTCCATCTAGTCATAAGCTCTGATGGTGCCCTGCACTGCATCTTTAGAACCTCTAACACTGTTTGTAATTACTGGACACAATCTTATAATATTTATGTGTGGTTATTTGATTAATGTCAGACTTCACGAGACCAAGGCTATATCTTTGCTTCCTGCTATACCCCCACTGACTAGCCCAGAGCTGAGAACAAACCACATTTCATCAGTTCTAAGACAGACGTATTTTTCACATTTATCTCAGGATGCAACTTATAATCAATGTCTTAGATCCACCTGCATAGGCTGATGAGAGCTCACGAGATACTGGCTCGAACAGTGAAGACCCTTGCAGGGGGGTGTCACTCTGAACCCCCCGAGGGGGTGACTGATGGCAACAGGAGGGGTCAGGTGTGAGTCCCAGTGTGTTCTGGGACCGTGTCGCAAAAGTAACAGATGACAGCCACATGGGCTCTCTATTGCTTGAGACAGGAGGAAGGCAGAAGATCTGAGATTGGGGCAGGCCCCCTGAATCCCTCTGCATACCCGCCCAGGACAGAGAGCCAGCTCTGGATAAAGGCCCGAGTCAAAGGTAAATGGGTACAACTACAGGGGTGAGGGTCTGAAAATCCCTGAGAGCTTTTGCAATGTCACAGGAAGCCAAAGTGAAGATCAGGTTCAGCCAGGGCCTCTGCACTTTGTTTCCTACAGGAGCTTGGGCCAGACACTCTGTCTCTGGCTGGCCTCAGCCCTCCACATGGGTCCTCACGTGCTAGAAATGCAATGGAACTCTCCCCCCTGCTCCCCCACATCCTAGCTGCAGGGACCCCAGAGCAGGGGTGCAGGGCTCTGACACACAACAGGTGCGAAACTCAGACTCCTTATTGGTGTCTCCTAGTGAGATTATAAATTATCATTTTATGTGCTATGCCTTAACGGCAATTTTGTTCAAGTGCAAATATTTAAAACATGCTACCCACTTTTGGAGGCCTGTTTAGCATTTCTTCCATTTTCAATACACTGAGAACCTCAGAAGAATACAAGGGACCCGGGCCACCATCAGCCTCCACTGGGCCCTGCAGAGAGCTTCCCCGTCCCTCCTGCAAGCCAATATGTAGCTATAGATACTGTGTCACCCTCTGCTGGCAGCAAGATCCCCCCAAACCAGAGCCAGGCACACACTGCACCCCACTTTGATGATGTTCCCCCCTGGGCGCCTACACGCCCACCCTAAGCTTCTGTACGAAGTCCTTTGCTCTGATAGTCTAGTTCCCCACTCTCTGACCCACTCCCAACCCGAAGCAGACCCGGACATGCCTTTTCATTATAAACACTAGCGTGTTCCCCCCACATGCTGCCCAGTACAGGCCCCACGGGGCCATTGCCCACTTAGAATGCAGGGAGTCTGAATTGAAACGAGCTGAATTCCAAAGCCCTCATAAGGAAAAAAGAATGCAAAATATTTCAGTGTTAATATTTTATATTGATTCTATGTTGCAATGGTAATGTTTTTCCATATTGGGTTAAATGACACATATTATAAAAATATCACTTGTTTCTTTTCACTCTCTCTAATGCAATACTAGAAAATGTAAGGTTAGGTATGCAGCTCACAGCCTCTTTCCAGGGGCAGCACTAAGATAGAGTTGGCAGGAGGAAGCTTTCCCTGCCCAAGGGCCTGATGGCAAATATTTTTGGCTTTGCAGGGGGACCCAACTCAGCCGTGGGGCAGGAAAGTAGCCACAGACAATGAACCTAGGAATGAACCTGACTGCATTGCAAGAAATGCAGATTTGGCCCCTAGGCGATAGTTTACTGACTCCTGCTTTAGAGAATCTATCTCATAAAAAGGGTCATTTCTGCAAAGTGCTATTCATTTTCTCATTGGCCTTCCGTGAAAAGCCACCTCTCGTTCAACTGAAGAAAGAAAACACAAGTGCATTCGAGGCTCCCCTAACCCGGGATGGTCCTGGGACCATGAAGCAGCCCCTGACGGCCCCCAGGGCTCAGCAGCCCCAGGGCACCCACCAAACACACTTACTTGGGTGTGTGGGCCTCATCCACACGGTGACCCAGCTGAAATTCATGGGACTTGCTTCGATGCAGGGCCGTGAAACCTGGAATCAAGTGGATCAGCTTCCGGGAGGAGGGCGGTGGGGTCCCCGGGGGCTTCAGCTTGTTCTTCCTCCTCATGGGTGGTGTACCAGGTGGGGTCACGGTGGTGACGATATTGGGGGTGCGCGGTGGGGTGCGGACAGCGTGCCGCTGCCGGGGCGATGGGGGTAGGGAACGGTGGCCTGACTCCAGTGGTGGTGGCGGGCACAGACCCGGGTAGGCATCCACGCTGAGCCTGTCCACATGAGTGTACACGGGGGCCCCGGGCGAGGGGCTGGCATGACAGTAGCGCTGGACACACTTGGTCTGGACCCTGGGGCTCTGGGGGAGGTGCGTGCGGATCCACGGGGTGGGCTCCGGGGGGCACACAGGGTTGTTCTCCTTCCCTGTTTCCGTGGTGGGCCACTGGATGGTCCAGTCTTGTTTGGAAAGGTTGCCTCCTAAGTTGGAACAAAGGAGCAGAGAGACAACAGATAAGCCACGAGAAAGCACCTTACAGTGTATGCACGTTACAGCAAGTACACCTTACAGCATATGCATATTACATCCTATACACGCCGCACTGTGTATGCACATTACACATTATGCACCTTACAGCGTGTGCACATTATATCTTATACACACTGCACTGTGCATGCACATTACACCATGCGCACACTACACTGCATAGTCATTTACATACATTCATCTCCCCTTGGCCCCTCCAAAAAGAGAATGAAACCCCTTTGCTAACCCTCTCACCATAATCCCCGTTCAGCAGCTTGGCCCCCCACTCCGCTGTGGTTGTGGAGCCCACAATTCAAACGTCCAAAAAAGCAAAGGAGTTAATTCTCACCTTTTGAGCTTCCAAGGATCCTACTTCCAGCAGTTTCAAGGTGATTTAAAGGATTTTCAAGGATAACCTTTCCCTTACAATGCAATTTTACTGCTAGCCCTTATATGAGATACGTGAATTCTGCAGAAGTCAAGTTTGCCCCCGGTCACTCCCTGACCACTTATTCAGCCACTGCATACTTCTCCCAGATCTGCTGTCGCCATGGGCTCAGGCACACCTTCATCCAACAGTTTCTGAATGCACCAGGCACTATGCTCAAGAAAGGTCCAGCAGATCACACACAGGCCAGGCTCTCTGATACCCTAGACTTAACATTCCGCTGCAGGAGAGAAATAATAGATAACAAAACATGCTCACAAAAGGATTTCAGAGGACGATGAGTGCCTGAGTGCTGGGGGGAAAAAGGCGGGGGGGGGGGCAGAATAGACATGATAAGAGAATTGGCAATGGTGAATGGTTACCAGGCTGTGGGGTGTGCCAACCACAGAACACTACACAGCCGTGAAAAGGAACGAACTATTGAGCACACATATACTGGCTGACTTTCCGGACAACTATGCTGAGCAGACAAAGCCTGGTGACTTTCCAGACAACTATGCTGAGCAGACAAAGCCTGGTGAGTTTCCACACATACGCTGAGCAGACAAAGCCAACCCCAGGTTACATATTGGAAGATTCCATTCACATTCCATTTTCGAAATGACCACGTTTTAGAAGTGGAGGACAGATTGGTGGTTGCCAGGGTTTAGGGATGGAGGACACAGGCAGGAGGGAGGTGGGTGTGGCCATGAAAGGAGAAACGCAAGGGACACTTGTAGTGTTGGAACTGTCCAGTGTCTTCACTGGGGTGAAGGATACGTGAACCTACCCAGGTGATAAAATTGCATAGAAGTAAACACACACACACACACACACACACACACAGGAGTACTTGTAAAGCTGGGGAAACCTGCATGGTATTTGGAGGTGGGGCCTTAGGGAGGTGACTGGGTGAAGATGAGGTGGGGCAGGTGGAGGCTTCATGATGGGATTGGTGCCCTTACACAGAGACGAACACACAGGAGGTCCCCGCAGAGAAAGGCCACGTGAGACCGCAACGGTGGCTCTCTAGAAACCAGGAAGACCCTCAACAAGAACCAAATCTGCAAGCACCTTGATCTTGGACTTCCAGCCTCCAGCACTGTGAGAAGTAATGTCTGTTGTTCAAGCCCCCCAGCCTGTGGTATTTGTTAGAGCAGCCTGAACAGACGGTAACAGGATCGCTCTGTATTATTTCTTACAACGGCATGTCAATCTACAATTAGCTCCATAAAAATTTTAACTGAAAAAAATTAAAAATAAAAGCATTGGGGGTGGGGCTGACTTTAGGTAGAGTGCTCAGCCTCCTAAAGAAGTGACATTTAAGCTGGCATCGAGGACAAGAAGGGGATCGGATCACCAAGAGCCAAGGACAGAGCATGGCAGGTGTGGGGTGGGGGTGGGGGATGACCAGGCCAAAGGCATACAGGCAGGAAGGGACATTTTTTTATTTTTTAAGTCTTGCAACGGTTTATTAGGGAAAAAATGGAAGTATTAAAACAATCCCCACTGGGGGCACCTGGGCAATTCAGTCGGTTAAGCATCTGCCTCCTGCTCAGGTCAGGATCCCAGGCTCCTGGGATTAGCCCTGCGTCGCATTGGGCTCCCTACTCCGGGAGCAGCTCTTAAATAAACAAAATCTTAAAAAAAAAAAAAAAAATCCCCACTGTCTGAATGCAACTTGGGGTTTTCAGCCCCGGTATAAGTTAAACCAAAAAATAAAAATTTAAAAACCCAATTGTGCATGAATATTTTTCACTCCTTTGCCATACTGGAAGGGCACATACCAGCGTGGCCTACATGCACAGACTCCGTGCTAAGAAGCATAAGCGTCAAATAATACCAAGTGGACAGGCTCCAAACCCATCTAAGTTAGGGTAGGCACTTTCCTAGGTCGCTTTTCGGGGTGCCTTCTCGAAGGCAGTGTGCCCAAGGCGTGGTGACAATGGGATGAGTGGCTCAAGGAGAGGCCAAAGGGACAGGGCGAGGGACAGGCCACCAGGACCACAGGCCAAACTGCAGTGTGGCTTTTACGCCAAGGTCAGTGGGAAGCCAGTAAGAATTCTGATATGAAGTTCCCTTCTCAAAGATCCTGCGTGGACACACAGAGCCCATGAAGGGTTTTGCAGGGCTCCAGGCAAGAGATGACGCTGGTCCCCACAGGGGTAGTGGCAGCAAAGATGGAGAGAAGTTGGTGGGAATCACTGCGTGACAAAGCAGGACCTGGCGGAAGGTGACTGAGTGGGCCCTCCGATCACAGACCAAGGAAGCGACGAGGGACAGAAACAAATTCCAGCTCCCGGCCGACTAGCAATAACCATAATAATTACTATAAGGACCATAACAAGAGCTAATTTATGGAACATTTGACAGTTTACAAAGTGCTTTCATGAACACTGACTCACTGCCCCACTTTTAATTAAAACTACTCATTTGGTTATTATATCTTCATTACAGAAAAATTAGAAAACTCAGATAAGGAAAAAGGCAATGTTGGTCCACAGCCTAACCACCATCCCTATTAATGTTGGGCTGTGGAGCCTGCCAGATGGTTCTCTGTGCATCTTTTTTTAAGAAATGCCATAAGATCTTATTTAACGACTTGTCATCTGCTTTCTTCATTTGTTACATTAGGATCGCTTTACATCTTATCTAATTTTTGTGACTCTGTGTGCAAAGGGCCATTTTTATCTCTACTTTATAGATAAGGACGTGGATTCACAGAGAGAGGAAGATGTGCCCAAGGTCACACCAGAGAGGGGGACTGGCAGCTGGGATTCAAACCCAGAGCCTGGGCCACCTTCCACAACCAGGGCCCAGAGGCATCTGAGACAGAGGCCTGGGACTCTACTGAGGACCCCAGGCCATCGTGGATGAGCCAAATGGGAATAGAAACTGGAGCGAGGGCTCATTTCTGACACGGGTCTCCCTCTTCCCTTCTCCCAGACTTTGCCAGAACATTCTACCAAAGTCACCATCACTATGGTGGCGTGTCAATCTCAAAATTTAGACAAATATGTTATTAACCCTGCAACTAAGAACGAGCTCTGGAGTCTTATGACTTGGCCCTATGTCTGGCTACCCACTTACTGTCTGTGTGGCCTTGGGCACTCGTCTGACCTCTCTGAGTCAGCTTTATCACCTGTGGAATGGGACAATAGGACCTGCCTCAGGGGAATGGCGTGAGGATAAATGCTATAGCAGAAGTGATGTGCTTGCTTAGCCCAGAACCTGACACATGGCAGGAACTCCATACCTGTGAGCTATGCATATTGGGATTCTCAACCCTGTGGTGATACGGCCCTATCTCCCCTTTAAAGAAGGTGCACTAGTGCTGAGAAGTGTATGTGCAGCAGATGCCTGTGCACCTCCCAGAGGCTGATGCTCGGAGGCCCTGAAGGGCTCTGAGAGCTGGGGGAAGACAGAATCACGCCCAGATCAGCTTCTCCATCACCCGGCAAGCTTTGGATTGGTCTATTTGCTCAGGAAATACAAACTCATTGTCAAATGAACCTAACTAAGACACATTTAAGGGAGTAATCCCCTTGGGAGCTGGAAAAAAATATATGGGATTGGGACTCTGAGGGATCTGGCTTACAATTCTGATTCTACCACTGATAGAGATCTGTGACTTGGGTAAGTTACTTGACCTCTCTGAGCCTCAGTCTTGGGTCTGTAAAATGAGAATGATCATGGTTCCCTTGAGGGGTACAGTGAGGATGAAATGCATTCATTCATCCATCTGAGTATTTCACAAATATTTGGATGCCTCTCATATACCAGGCACCGTTCGAGGCACTGGGATAGAGCAATGAATAAAAAAAAAAATCCAAGGTCCCTATCCTTGCAGAGCACATGATCTTATTGGGGAAACAGTAAAAGGGGAATGAACAAATAAGTAACCTATATATTATCTATTCGATGCCATATAAAATATATTGTCTATAACGTATCAGGGGTAGTAAGTGCTATGGAGGAAAAAAAGTGGGCACAGGTATTGGGGGGAAAATGCTGGGGGACTACTGCAGTCAGACAAGGGTGAGGAGGTGACAATGGACATGAGCAAATATCGAAGTAAGTGAGGAGTGCGTTAATGAGATAAAATGAGTCACACCATCGGCACAGAGCCTGGACCACCACATGACGCAGACCGATGGGCAGATGACTGAGGGGGACGAAGACATCTATTCTGGATGCCCAGGACTCATCCAATTTGCTCCTGAGGCACTCACCGTGCCCACCCCTGGGGTTGGGTGTGTGTCTTTCCCCTGTCCTGCAGATGCTCTCAGTCTGGCGCAAAGACTCCCAACGAAATGAGCACTCATTACAATTCCGCTCCCAGGTATCGACCGAAAGGAAGTGAAAGCAGGCACTTGAATGCCTGGATGTGAATGTTCCCAGCAGCACTGGGCACACCAGGCAAAAGGCAGAAACAACCCCAATGTCTGTTGATCTGACAGATGGATACACCAAATGTGGCATGTCCCTACAACAGAATATTATTCTGCCATAAAAAAAGAATGAAGT